CTTTTTATTGTAGAATTTATTCAAATCTGTAAAAAGTGTAAGATTAAATTTAAAAAGACTAACGATTTCAATTTTTATTAATTTAATCAATTTAAAAGCTATATGAACGAGTTGAACCCTTCGAAAAAAATTCATATCTTTTTATACGTGTTATTTCTTATTATGCGAAGCAAATACTTGAAAAATGTGCATCTAAATCATGCGAGAGTGCGCAATAAGTGCGTAAAAAATAGCAATAGCGACCTTACTTGCAAGTATTCACCTTTTTCAACATTTTATGTAAATGAAGTTACGGTACAGTTGTACTTAATTGTATTTAATTTACGTTAATGTAATAGAATTGTATGAACACGTAGTTTTTTAAGCGCGGCTAATTCTAATATTATAAAATGTCTAGTATTTTAAACGACTAAGTTAACAAATTGTCTTTTACTATTTTCTTCCTAAATTTCTTTTAAAGCATAAATATCATAACATACTAGTAAGCATATTATCAGTATAACTGTATGCATTTTAGCTCCGTCCCTTATATGTTGTGCGCTATGAATGCGAAGGTGTATAATTCTAGAACAGGTGGGTGTGTTTCTGTGTGGCCTTGTCCTAAAGTCTGTGACACAGTGTCAGCCCTTCAGTGGGGTGTACTCTGCCTACTTGTTCTTAATATTATATTAGTTTTTATATATACTTTCTAGAGAATCAAGGTGTGAAAATAAAATGTATTTTTATTCCACTACTCTTTCAGAATATTGCATTGTCTGTAGTCATTGGTATTGGGAAATTTTCATTATAGTTTGCAGATTGTAGTTCTTAAAATTTTATAATCCCTCTTGGCTATCTTCTGCACTGACTTCAGGATATTAATAAAGAAAATACCAATCATAGTGAAAACGACAAAAATTTGTTGTGTTATACTGTAATTAAAAATATTCCTTACATCATTTATACATCATGTAAATTATTACAATCATTTTTTTACGGTTGTGACGTGTCGCATACAATTTACTGTTGCTGAGTCTCAATGGGATTACATCCAACTTGATTAAATAATCTGTCTTTAATTATTTGTGCCATTAAACCATGAATAATTTCAATAGTAGTTTTGCAACTGTCTCTCGTTGCTTTAATTAATTTTTCTACAGTACTGCGATCATGAGGGTCTGTTCCACCTAAAATAAACCCTCTTCCAAGTGCAACTTCTGATTGTTCTAGTTTATCTGATAAATCAAATATTTGTCCAGTAGTGTAATCCGCATTTGTTAAAAGGCTTGATGAGCTTAAAGTATTCACCCAATATTTATTCCACAATGAATCCAATAATCTTCTATCTAATGATGATTTGAAATAAGAAACTTCTAAAGAATAGTATTGTTTACAATGAACACCAAAATCTTCAATTTTATTCAATGGTATTGTTTGATATTCAGATGGTTCTTCATTTGCTGGTTTATATCCCTGTATCAAATGATTCATTAAACTAAACATTCGTTTTATTTCTTCTTTAATTTATCAAATATATATTACCTTTGGGTAAGTTCGAAAGGCACCCAAACAAACTTTTCCAGCTGATATTGTTCTAACGGGATCAATTACAATAGCAACAAATGGTTCTTGAAAATTTTGATTGAGCATTTGAGTAGATACGTCGATACCTGATAACCAGCATCCATATCCAGGATGGCTATGATACCACCCTATAGCATTTTCTTGTCTCCCAACCTTAATAAGCAAAATAATTATAGAAAATTATATGTTATTATATTAGTAACTGAATAGAATTAGAACATACTTGTTTAGCTGCTTCTATGTATGCTGTCATATATTCATATGCTTGTGCTTGTGCATTTACTCTTGTTTCTGTACCTTCTACTGGTAGTGCAAAAGAATCCATTACAATCATTGTATTTGCTGCAACTTTTCCAAGCAAAAGACCCATTACTTCCAATGTTCCTCCAGAACGAGCATGCATAACCATTTTTAATAATGCTAATGCAGAGATCTTTATATCTTTAAAAAAATGATTACTGAAATATGACCAAACATACATGATTAAAACAAATAAGAATATATTTTATTAATGATATAACTATTACACTGAATTATATTAAATTAACAAAATGTAATATGTAGAACAAAAACATAACATACTCTTTTTCCCATGGCCTTGCAATTAATATATCCTGCTGCTCTTTACGATCATATCTATAAATTTCATCAACAGTACTGATTGTTTCTATATTATTTGACATTTCCCATGTTTTTTGAGCAATAGTACTTTGATCTGAAGAACTGCTTGCCATGTTAACAAATTACTGTCAAAACTTTAGGCTTCTGAAACAGATAAAACAAAATTATTACTTAAATTTTATATGTGCATTTTTGGTATTTAGTTAATATACTTATCAATAATATTTTATTTGCAAACATTTTGATACAAGTATACATATAATGATATTTGATATGGATAAGATCTTTTTAAATTATGATTGCATCAATTATTGATTATGAAAAAGTAAGTAAAAGTGTTGTATTTATTGCATTAAATGTTTATATTTCATAAACAAAAATTTAAAATAATAATGAAATGTCAAATTACTATATAAAATTAGTTTTCATGCGATTTAAATCTAAAAATTTATTCTGTAAACGTATTTTATAAACACATGTATTACTTCTATTACATTTGTAAAACTTTACTAAATTTTCTGGTGCAGAAATTAAAAATATCCTAAAATCATACTGTGATTACTACTGCTTTACGTTAAATTGTGACGTTCACGTTAAACTATAGATTGTCACTACATTTTTTGACGTTAACAGCGCCACCTATCAATAAAACATTAATTATTACCATTTTGCATTTAATATTGTATCAAAGAAAATAAAAATGATAAATTTTAATGTATCACTCAAGCATTTTTACCGTTGGAACAAAATATATATAGAAATATTTAAATTCACATCACAGACGGTGTACAGAATTGGTCTATCATCTTATGGGACTTTATGTCTCACGTTCTAAAATACCGATCGTGTAAAATATTAGAGGTTTTGTCATGCTCTCTACGGTAACTATATCGTGAATTTAGGAATTATATATAATCCAACTATCAAAGATGGTAAAGTCGGCAAAATCTAATGTGCAAAATACATTTTGTACACTTATCTTACAATAAATAACAGATGTTTTGATAAATAATTGCATTCCTTCATTTTTCCCGATGTTCAATCTTTTCCGTGATTTCTGCGGTGTTCTGGGAGGTCTATCTGTAATTCATACGAAAAGAATATTAATTTTCTACTATCTACATTATTAGTAACGTTACAGCAATTAAAAATTTATTATAAGTATCAATTTTAAACTGCTTACTACATGCAATTATGCTCTAATTTACAATAACTATCATTAAAAGCGAGAAATTCAAAGAATATCTATTTTAAAAATCAACTAACCTGCTAATACTTTATTTCTGACGATTCTTTCGACGATACATGAGTAAGACAAGGAAAGGAGTAAGAGTAGACAAGGACAGAAAATTTTCAAAACGAAACTAACGCCATCTCGCGTCTGATGACGTGAACTACGATTTTTTAATAGGAACACAGGATATAAACAGAGGTATTGGACAAGGACAGCACTAGTGTGCGAGAAGGATAGAGAGAAAACGTCTCCTATTGGCTGGCGGGCCGCTGAGTTCCGCCAATCAGGCCATAAGTCAAGCCAGTTGGTGAAAAATCATTAATAACTCGATAATTAGGATGATTTTGTGAACTTTTAGAATTGAAGAATGTAGAGTGGACCTTTAGCTACTTTCACATATAATTTTTAATACAATAGACCCTTTCAATAATTAGTTATTAACTATTTTAGTAGGTGATGTCGGAAATGATGCCGTTTACGTTTATATACGTTTATGGTTTTTCAATAATTTCATAGCTTTCTAATGAATTCCCATGTAATTATCTATATGCAGCTGAAAGATAACTCCTTTAGCTATATTCTCATATAACGTTTATTAACATATTCCGTTTAGTTTAGGAGTTATTAAATATTATTTGGGAGCGTTCCTATTCATCGTACTCCAGTCAAGTCGAATCTTATAAACAATTGCTAATATTTAATAAACCATATCTCTTACGACTACAAAAACGATTGGAGAATATAGATAAAAGTCCATTCTACATTCTTCATGCTTGAAAATTCAAAATTAATCATGCATATTCGTGAAAATGGCGGAAATCTATTATTTTGAATGCGACGAGTTTGGTACTGATCCAAATAATATGTAATAACTCATTATCTACGTAGAATTTGTGAACTTTTTGTATGGAAGAATGAAGTATGGACCTTTAGTGACTTTCGCATGCAGATATCAATGCACTAGACCCTTTCAATAATTAATTATTAACAATTATAGTACCTTCACGGTTTTTGAATAATATAATTTTTAATACAATAGACCCTTTCAATAATTAGTTATTAACTATTTTAGTAGGTGATGTCGGAAATGATGCCGTTTACGTTTATATACGTTTATGGTTTTTCAATAATTTCATAGCTTTCTAATGAATTCCCATGTAATTAACTATATGCAGCTGAAAGATAACTCCTTTAGCTATATTCTCATATAACGTTTATTAACATATTCCGTTTAGTTTAGGAGTTATTAAATATTATTTGGGAGAGTATTACACCCGTCGCATTCAATTGTAACACATTTTCGTTATTTCAATAGAAATGCGTAACTAATTATGCACTTTTAAGCATGGAGAATGTAGAATGGACTTTTATCTATGTTCTGCAATTAGTTTGGTACCCCTAAGTGGTGTTGTTTAGTAAATATTAGCAATTGTTTGGAAGATTCGACTTGACTCGAGTACACTGTACAGGGACGCTCCCAAATAATATTTAATAACTCCTAAACTAAACGGAATATGTTAATAAACGTTATATGAGAATATAGCTAAAGGAGTTATCTTTCAGCTGCATATAGTTAATTACATGGGAATTCATTAGAAAGCTATGAAATTATTGAAAAACCATAAACGTATATAAACGTAAACGGCATCATTTCCGACATCACCTACTAAAATAGTTAATAACTAATTATTGAAAGGGTCTATTGTATTAAAAATTATATGTGAAAGTAGCTAAAGGTCCACTCTACATTCTTCAATTCTAAAAGTTCACAAAATCATCCTAATTATCGAGTTATTAATGATTTTTCACCAACTGGCTTGACTTATGGCCTGATTGGCGGAGCTCAGCGGCTCCCTTGTCTTACTCATGTATCGTCGAAAGAATCGTCAGAAATAAAGTATTAGCAGGTTAGTTGATTTTTAAAATAGATATTCTTTGAATTTCTCGCTTTTAATGATAGTTATTGTAAATTAGAGCATAATTGCATGTAGTAAGCAGTTTAAAATTGATACTTATAATAAATTTTTAATTGCTGTAACGTTACTAATAATGTAGATAGTAGAAAATTAATATTCTTTTCGTATGAATTACAGATAGACCTCCCAGAACACCGCAGAAATCACGGAAAAGATTGAACATCGGGAAAAATGAAGGAATGCAATTATTTATCAAAACATCTGTTATTTATTGTAAGATAAGTGTACAAAATGTATTTTACAAAAGACTACAATATACTAGTATTGTTTTACAGCATTTTACAATTTATTCGTTTCTCCCTGACACACCACACCCATTTCCTTTAGTGAAGCACTCATTCTTTAAATAGTATTCCATTAAAAAATTAAATAAACTAAGTAGGTCCACATAACATTAGGGACGCGTAATAATTGAAAATATTCCGAAATTTAACCTAATCTAATTATACATTTAGAAATATAAAATTGTATACTTCGTGTAGGATTATAAAATATCCTGTCCTATACTTTATTTGTAATATCATATTTATATTTATATTATAATTCTAACCACTACTAATGTTGTAATTTTTTTTTATGCTGAATCGATAACGTTGAAAGCGGCACAAAAATGATAAGGGCCTAGAGCCCTCCATGACCTGGAACAAAAAAGTACATTGGGTAATAGGTCTATTCTGTTTGTGATTCAAACCATTATAAGACGGGTTTATCAGCTGCTGGTATTTTTTTAAATTTACAATTAAATACAAGATATCGAAAAGTAAAGATGTATACAGTTCATTTTATATTTTTTAACAATTATCTTCTAAAATAATTTTATTATATGTCAAAATAATACAAAAATTACAATTTCATAATGCGACAAAATTTGAATTTTATATTGCAATGCTCTAAAAAATGAATAAAGAAGTCATACAATTAAATTTATTGACTATGATGATAAATGCTTTATTTGTACATAATATAATTCTTAATAGTGTCACAATTAAAATAAATAATTGAATACAAAATTACAAATAATTAATAGTCTTCTTCATCATATCCATATCCAAAGTCATTCTCGTCTTCTGACGCATTTCGTTCAAGCATTTGACCAACAGTCATTTCTGTAGGATCAGCTTCAACTTCTTCATCGATATAATCATCGGTTTCATCTGTTTTGTAAATTTTGAATTAATTTAATTGAATAAATGAAAATAAATTATGCAACAGTACAATAGTATAGACATGTATTAATATTTCACAAACAGAAAAAGACTAAAAAGTAAAGCTATGTATTTATAGAATATATCAGGACTAAAGTACATAAATTGCAAAATGTAATGAATAGTAATGTATATTAATAGAAAATCAAATTTTATACATTAAAGTCAATACAACATAAATCAAAAGCAAAAACTTACCCATATCACAGATATCTTCTCTTGCAAGTGTAGGTTCTACTGTATTAATTTCTACTTCAACGGACGTCTCCAATTCTTTTTTCTTTGCTTGTTGAACATGTGGTTTAACTAAACGAGGTTTTTTTACTGTTTGTGTGATTGGTTTGTCTTGTATTTTCGATGGACTAGTACCACTAGGTCTACAAATAAAAAATGTATAATATTCTTATATACTTATAATACTCATATGATATTCTTCTAAAAGTGTCACTAATTAGATTATGTTATACAATAATAATAATTACTAAGAAATGTATAATGCTAACATTTTACTGGAATTTGCTGCACTATCTACTTCTGTTTTAAGCGATTGGACTGGTTCTTCGACTTTTTGTTGTTCTTTGTTTGAAGTACTTAAGCCGACATTTAAACTCTTTAACACTTCATAATTAATTTTCGATGAAATCTTTTTTTCTTGCAACATTTTTTCAATCGCTTCTCCTAAGAAAGGTAAGAAAAAATTATTCTTTAACAGTAAGAAACATAAAAAATATATGAATATTCTGACAATTGATAAAACGTTAATATAATGGAATTTAAATAACATTGTTACCTGCCGTGTTCGCCGGTGCTTGACTTTTATTACGTTTAGTAGTTCTCCGCCTTTTCTTTTCAGGTTTACCCTCTTCTTTTTCTTTCTGCCGCCTTTCTTCCTTTTCCTTTTGTTGAATTAAATACTCAGCATTCACTTTATTCCATAAATTATGTTTAAATTGCGCTTCTTTTTCTGACATAATATAACTGTCTAATTCCTCATCGTCTAAATCAGCGATGACAATCTCTCCAGAATTCTAGAGTAGAAAACGTCAGTAATTAACGGGCACACACAGATAGGGAAGAAATAATTAATTAAAAAAGAATTAAAAATACAATACAAAATAACAGTTCAGGATTAATTTTATATACATTTTCAAAGTTTGCTGATTCTTTCGTTTCATTTTCTCGATCATTTGTCGGTATTAATCCCATAGACGCAAAATTTGGACCTTTAAATAATTATACATATTACAAATTTGATAACGTGGTGTTTAGTATAATAAGTATCTGTTTAAAAAGTTATTTTCGTTCTTACCCAGACCAGTTGTTAACTGATTATTTACGTTATTCAACTCGGAATCTTGAATTTCGCTATCAGGATCATCTACATCATTTTCAACATAATTTTTAATTACATCTAAATTACTTTCCCTTACAAACCTCTCCGTATCTTCTCTTTCTATGTAAGCAGCTGAAAATTAATTTTTTACGATATTTTTTTATAGTAAAGGAATGATTAATTCAATAATGAAATAAAAACATTCAATCTTTATTAAAAAATATTTAACTAATTATATTGTATCTTTAAATCAATATTAAAATTACCATCTTTCCGTTTTCTTGTTTTTCCTAATCTGTGTTCCTCTAGCTGTTTATCAATCTCATTTAATTAATTTTCATAATTATACTTCATCTCATAAATTGTTATAAAATGTCTATACTCTTTGTAGTCGTTCTCTGTCCTTTTTACGTGCAACTTTAAAAGCTGGAGGATCCTGTTCCTCCTCCAGATCGACCGTCATGAATTCTTCAAGGGTCAATGAGCTCGAGGGTGTATCGCCAAATTCTATAAGCCTATAAATTTTAACGCATAAAAATTGTTATAAATCTTCCGTTTACTAAAAATTAAATTTATTCAAATATTCTTTACCTCTTGCGTAATGTAGATTCGTGTACTTTTACCACTTTGATAATGTCAGCGGGCGATCTGTTGAACTCATGTAATCGAGCAGCCATCAGCAATGCTAATTTCAAAAGAAATTCACTTCAATTCATTCACTCCAATATTGATTGAATCTAACTAAATTTATTTGATTTTTTATAAAGCTATACTTAACGATGTAATTTTTATCTTAAAAAGTAATTTTTAAAAAGTTAAATAAAATGTCAATGCATAAATCAGGGTATAAAAGAATTTTAAAAAATATATCAAGTGAGATATAAATATTTCTGTTGAAATTAAATTCGAATGATTAAAAGCATAAATAAATAAATCAATTTTTTTTATACCAGCTCCACATAATCCCGATGGTCTACGTCCGCTGTGAATACTATCCCTTTTCATCCTTTGAACTACTCGTAGAGCAGTCATTGATACTTCATGTGTTTTTTCACCAAACTCCAACTTATTTGCAAACCTCATAATATATAAACATGGATCTGTAAAGAAAACTACATTAATAACTTGCTATATTTAAATATTCATCGTGCATTTCTTGTCATGATATTTCTTTTTTTAAACTGCATTAAAGTCCCAATAAATTATTCCATAATGCATAACATATTTTCTTTTAAATTTTATGTAATAAATGCAAAAATAATTCTTTCATATACTACTTCTATCTAAATGCATAAGGTAGAGTGACAAAATAACAAAGGATTAACAAAGACGTAACTATATGTCTTTCAATTGCTTTTTATTAAATATGACATTTTTTTAATTTATTTATTAGTTAAAAGTTCAAGCATTAATTTCATCTTGTACACTATGCTTGTCATGACGTTGCCTGTGAAATGTATACACTGCGCAGAACGAAGTCTGCGTTTTTGAGAAACACCCGATATATGGACGCGCGTACCCTAAGTTGTCTATCGACCGACGTGCGTAACTATCTAACCAGCGCCCGTCTGACATGGCGCCCATGTAACTGAAATCCAAAATCGTTCCGTGTTGAATTTTAAGAAAAAACTGGGATCGAGTTTAAAAAGTGACAATGGCGATGTCGAATCTTTACTCGAAAATATCGACGAAACCGATGAAACGCTTCCAAGACAACATCACAGTCAAGCAGACTAATCCATGGTTAAACGGTGAGAGACTATTGCAGATATAAATAAACATAATATGTACCTTAAATGCTGTCTATGCATTTATTGAAGAGAATTGTAAAAAAAATAATAGATGAAAAATATTGCTTACGTTCAGCCTATCTCAAATTATTCGAACAATGTTATTTCTTTCGTGATGTTTATTTCTGTTTCGATGCATAGATGCAACGATGTGTTAGTTTGATAATTTACTTTGTACATCAAAATGCTTTCATTACAAATATTTTCGAACAATGTTGCTAGAAATTATGAACGATACAATGTGGTCCAAAAATTTAATGTTTTATAACAGAAAATATAAAGCAGTCAGATACACTAATACAAGTTTTAAATGAATTTTCATTTAAATTTTACAACGTATTTTACCGAACTATATTAGTACATTAAATTTTTTAACTGAATATTTAACTGGATTACATACTTAACTGGATATTTAATGCATTACTTAAATAATATTGACAATTATTACATTGATTTAATTAAAGATATGTGGATTAATGTGCTTATAAATATATATGTATATGTTTTAAGTTTTACTATTAGT